CAGAGGAATTATTGATATACAATGTCGCTTCATGTGACTGTTCTAAAAATGGATCCACAAGACACGATGTCAAATGCTATAAAAGATATGAGTAAAAACCTTTCCATTACTAATTAATTTTTGGGAAGAGTTGGGTAATGGAATTAGTTGAGGTTTTCAAAAACAATGGTGATAGCCTAACTAAAATGACAATAGACCTAGCAGTTCGATGACACTAATAATCCATTGTGAGACTTGTAAGTTTGAATACATTGATGCAGCTTATTTGGTTGTTTTAAATTTTTTTTTTTTAAAAAAGAATTTGTAATAGATTGCTTAGTTAACCTTTCCTTACAATTTATTAAGTAGAAATAACTTAAATAAATTATAAAAAAATATATTTTAGATTATAGTATATTGTATCAAACAAATCATAATTTCTCTCACTTTTAGCTACTATTTAATTCCATTCCATAAAGAGAGGGTGATCATGGATCCTTCTAACCCTCTCAATCTGATTGAACTGATCCAACTTGATTGATATTGAGTGGATGCATGTTTTTTGACAAATGAATCCGGTTGAAATATTTCAAAATTCACGGATACAGTTCGGGTGGCAGATCAACCATCTCGCCCTTGAATGAACCCAATCCGTCCGTAAATGAAGTTCGAAAAAACAATTACTAACAAATAATAACAAGGTAGAAATAATAAAATATATATTTTTATGAAAATAGAAAACAATACCTTAAAAATATGCATATGCGATGCCATGACATATTATAGACACAACATATATTTTTTCATCTTACTAGTTATTGGAGATCATAAAAGTTATGAATTATAACTCAAAAAAATTTTCAAAATTTATAAAATCTAAACCACCAAACCGATTGTATCTATCCATCAACCCGCACGCTCAATTTGCATTCGTCAAATTGGTTGACAAATGCAAATTAATTTTTTTTAATGTACTAAATTTTGAATGGATAATAGATAAAATATCCCCTACCTAACCCCACCCCGGAGAGAAGTGAGAAATGACGCTCTTTTAAGCCCATTCATTTATATCTTCACCGTCTCATCTACTTCTAATACAAGTTGGGAATTAGTAACCATTTAAATAACATTATTATTTTCAACTACATCTTATAATGGGGAAAAGCTGGGAATTAGAAAACATGAGGTAGTTCATGGCTATTTCCAAGCTCATAAATAACGGTAGCAGAGGATAAATTATTTAATACTTATCAAGAATCGAGTGACACTCATAAAATTTTAAGGGCAAATAATATTTGTGGTCCTTGTCATTTTTCCTTTTTGTTAATTTGATTTTTAATTATATCAATTTCACCTTTTAAATTTTTGGGGTACTTACTTGTAGGTTCTAATAAATGGACTTATTGTCTAATAAGTCCTATGAGAAAAATTCATCATAAAAAAAAGTCACTAATTGTAAGTTTTAGCGACAATTTATAAAAATTATGACAAAAAAATGTCACTAATTGTCAATTTTTAGCGACATATATAAAAAATTGTCACAAAAAAATTATTTTTAGTGACAATTTTATCAAGACTTATTTTCAATAGGACTTGATGGGAATTAAGTCCAATTATTAGGACTTATTGATAGTTTACCCTAAATTTTTTATCATTATGACAATTTAGTTCAATTAGTAAATTAGACAATAATCAAAAGAAAAATTATTCTTTAACAAGGAATTAGATCGTTTCACATTATATGTTAATCCTGCCATTTAAAGGAGAATAGACTATTTCAATTTGAATATTAATCCCTCAATCACTTTGAGAAGAGTGAATTGACTATTTTACATATTGATTTTAGTATAATTTCTAAAATATTGTTATTAATTAGACCAAACTAACACAATAGAAAAATAAAATTAACCCAATTAAAATTATAAGGACTAAATTAACATAAAAAGACAAACTATAGAGAGTACAAATAATTTATCCAATTTTTAAAATTATCAACAAGAAGATAAAATTTTAACAATCAAATTGACTTGAATCGGGTTGTAAATCAACCAATATGCATGTAATTTTCATTCTGTGTGTCAATGTCAAAAGGCCAAAACAAAAAATATATATGATTAATATGTATGTATCAGCTAATATTTAAAATCATAGCTACTTCTCAACAACTTCTTGTAATGAATTCTAGAGACTAGTTTTCTGGACAGAACACCAGTTGGGAGTTCTGAAAGCAAGTTATGGAATTGGTTGGGAGATTTAAAACAAAACTGGTAGCATAGCCACAAACATGATGAGTAACACCTAACAATTTCATCACACTAATGATGCATTGTTTTAAATTGCATATATACAGAGGAAAGTAAGAAATGACTCCCCTTTAAGCCCATTCATTTACATATCTTCTTCACCTTCTCAACAACTTCTTGTATACACTGCTGGAAAATCAATTTTTAGCGGCGTTTTAAAAACGCCGCTATAGGTATTAAAAACGTCGCTAATTATTTTTGTGACGTTTAGTACCAAACGCCGACGACGCGGCCGTCGCTATAGCTTTATGGCGTTTGAAAAACGTCGTTATATTATTATAGGCGAAACGCCGCCAAATGTCCTACCTAATTGTATTGTGACGTCACTATGACATTTAGCGACGTTTTGGAAACGCCGTGAAAAATATTTATACATTTTAAAAATCTAACCGTTGGGGTAGGGATATAGTGACGTTCAAAAAACGCCGTCATAGACTTTATTTTTATTTTTTTTATTTTTAACGTTGTACTAATCTTATATGGTTGAAAAAAATACCTGTCATAAACAATTATTAAGAACTAATAATTGATGTTTATTAAAATAATAAATAAACTAAGTTTGAAAACAAAATTAAAAATAAAATAATAAGGCTCTTGACATGTTATTATACCGATTAGTAACATGATTACACTCTCATCTATCCATCACATAACACATTTGGTATAAAGTTTAAAAAAAAATTATAAATTATAAACTATAAATAAATAATAATAGTAGAAGAAGAAGAAGAAATCTGATGCACCAACATTGTATTCAAGCAATCAATATATTCTTTTTCCTTCTTGAAGACCCATCAAGTAGAGTAGAAAACTATGAAGAATCAATCAACATGCAAGAACCCTCCTATAATACAAACTGCAGACCATCTTCTTTAGATAAGTAAAGAGTTTATACAAACTGCAGACCATCTTCTTTTTTTAAGAGTCAGTAATGTATCATATTTCTCCACTTGTCCTTCAAATCAACCTAAACAAAAGAAGCCCTTATGTTAACATAAAGAAAAATAATATTAAAGCAGAAAAAAGGCACAACCATAAAAAATTCTCACCTCGATTCTCTCTTCAAATATGTAACGATCTGAATTTAAGATGAGCTTCCAGTTCCCTCTACCAAACCTTCAAAAGAAATAAATACAAATGAGTGAGGAGCTTTACATTATCCTAGAAGATATCATTGATTATTTAATTCTCTCAGTTGACATGAAAACAGTAAGAAAAATAACGTCCAATTAGTATACATTAATGTGTTTGTAAGGGGAAAAAGTTGACATGAAAACAGTCCTCGAAGAAGAAGAGGACAGAACTTTCTACCCCAACCTATATGCAAATTATAAAATTAGTGAAAAAAGCTTTAATAATCATTTGTTAATACATACCCCATAGAGGCAGATCGTCTGAACAATATTCGGCATGCCGGAAACCAAGAAGAATAAGAAGATCAGAATAGGGCAACATAAGTGAAGAATAGAGCTCCAACAAATATATAAGAAAAATGAAACCCAAAACCCAACAAAAAGGCGTACAAACCAAATAGCACCTCCATACTCATGTTTCCCAATCACATATAGCATGTTTCCCAATCCACATATAGTATGGAGCTATAAAATGGAATATCAAAGTTTACAAGAAATCAAGGATCCTAGATGATGCTCATGCCATCCAATGCAAAAGTGAATATGAATGCAGCCATTGCATTTGAATACCTAAGGGTAAAAATCAAAAAGTTAAAAGACTAAGAAATCAAACACTCAAGGACTCAAGCCTCTTGGAACTCTATGAAATACTAATGTTTAATATAAGCTCTCAACTATGCGTGCGACTGCTTCAACATATGAAACCATTGTCTCCAAAAGGTACCTCTATCAACGTAACTACTGATTATGTTCTGTTAAAATCACCAACCAATTTCACTTTCCAAAGGTATTTTATTTTTTATTTTTTTACTCACAAAAATGATGCATCTAATTCTATGGTTGGCTAACCCAGCCGATGAACCACTCTGTCTAAAGTCCCTAAACTGCATACACTTTTGACTAGAGAGAGAGAGAGAGCAAACCATTTGGGATTGAGGAACAAAGGGGAGCATTTACATCGATCTCAGCAACAATGCTAGCATCTTCGTGTCCAAATGAATCTGCAAAACCCAGAAGAAAAAAAACATGAGGAGATAGAAATAGGATGAGAAATCAAGGGGAAAAAAGAAGGAAAGGCATGGAAGAGGGAAGAGCTTACATAAGAGAGACAAGTCTGAACGAGCAAAAATCAAGCAGCAGGAGAGAAGAGAGAGAAGTTTGGGACTGGTTCTCTTGTTAGTAGCAGAGTTTCCACAGACCAAAGCAAGGGTAGTCTGTGATTCATCCTCATCTTCATCAACAACATCTATTCCCTAGTTAAAGGGATAATGACCTCATCCATTGATTTAAGCTTATTTTTGCCAGCATTCAGCACCTGCTTCACAAGAACTTGAAGACTAGTCCAATTAGGCTAGACAATACTATTTCAATTAGCAATCTTTCAAATTGGAGATGGAAGGCAAGAACACAGAAGGAATGATTTCTCTATTAAAAATTGAAGGAAACTAAGTTTCTATTAAAAAAATTCAGCTGTAAAACACTACTTTAGGAGTTTAGAACATTTCTAGTTAATTAGATTGAAACAGACTAATCACTATCATCATAAAGAAAAAAGAAATAAAAGTTTATCAATTCAGCTAGTAACCTTGTATTAGTTTTAATCATCCAAAACAATGACCCCAGGGTCCGATTTATCGGCCCTTTCTTCAGTTGGTTCATCGGCACTTGAATCAGCATCACACAACTCTTTCATTTCCACATCATCTCCAGTTCCATTGGTTGAACATATAGGTTCAGTCTGAGGTGGAAATGAATCTGCAGCAGCAGCAGGAACAACTTCACAAGCAGGCGAATTACTCTTTCCTTTTTCAAAATCTGGCCCTGTTGTTGATCTATTACTACATTCTGTTTCAGGGCCTAACTTCACTGTTGTTGCCTCTGGACCAGACTTGTGTTTGTCTCCCTGCAGTGTTGACAGCAAATTGGGTCCTGCAATTTCAGTTGGCATTTCCGAGTGTGAATCTGCTTTTTGTATCTGAGGTTCTATACTAGAAGAATCCTACTGAACTGGAGAGAGGATTCTGTTTATATCTTGATAGATGGTCTCTAGTGGAAGGAGATTCTTCTTCAACTTGAACCAAATTGGATTCATTGTGAGATCCAATTTGTTGTTTGCCAACTTTTTCTCCCTGTTCTTGTAGTTGCCAGCATTCAGCACCTGCTGGTTTGTTTGCTAAAAATGCCTCCATTGATTCATTGGCATTTTGTCCAAGTACTTTGCACATCTACATTTAAGAAACAATCTTTAGTGATGACATATCATTTCCTGAATAATATTTCTTCTCATAGACATCAAAATCAGGTAAGATATATGATTTGATTCTGTAATAAATGGGATTTTACCTCATTATAAAGCTGAGCCATTTCCAAACGATCTGGTTTATCGTCACAAGCAACAGCTGAAACTTCTTCTGGAGCTGCACAAAAGGAAAAGGTTGCACCATATTAGCTTCCTAAATGAGCCCGAGTTCTTTTGACATCTTATTTTGCTCTGAAGCAACTAAACATATCGAGTATTTCAAAACCACTAGTTGTCTACATTCAAACTAAACACAAACTCGCCAAAACAAACATATTCCACCTTCCAACCTTAAAACACAACCTGACCAAAAACCAGGAACCTCATAAATGCAACAATACCTCCTGTAGACACCTGATTCATGTTCTAGAGTTGGTCATATATTTTTCAGGATTTTGCCACAGGATTTGCCAACACCTTTGCAATTACAATCACCATATATCAGCCAATACCAAATATGGCAATACATGTGTCTAAGTTTGATATTTTGGTAATACTAGAAGAGTGAAGCCCTTAGAGCAACACATGTATGTTCTGTTACAAATCAAAGATGTACTACTAGCATTGCATATAGAAAATTTTACAGCTTGAAGAAATTCATTAATGTTTAGCTTCAATAACTGAGAGTTGTTAACCATTTTTTTATTCACGAAAGTAAAACTTGAAGAAATGGCAAGTACACTTACGGATCACTTCTACTTCTGGTAAATCATTCATAGTTTGGGCATCAAATTCCATGGAGCATGAACTTGGTATATTTACAACCTTGGCCTCTGTCTCCAGCTCTCCATTAGGAGCCACATTTGTTTTTTCCTCACCCTACAATAACAACAAAATAATAGTTAAGAAACCAAAAAAGTGAAGTGTTAGTTAATTGTGGTTAATTAAGAATGCAATTTGCACAGCTTATTTTGCAAACTCCTCCACATGGAACCATACAGAGACTTTGCAGTGGATATAGAAATGAAGTAAACAAAGAAGCCAAACCAGTAATTCATAGGTTTAAAATCAAACATAAAGCAAAAGAGATTAGGATGTTTGCGATTAAATTAATAGAAATAGAGCAGGGTTCACACTCTCATTCTTGAACTCTGAAAATTAGCTGAACAGTTGCGATTAAATTGTTACACCTACGGCTACGTCAATGTCACAATTGAGTTAAGAAAAAGAAAAGAGATGAACTTAACTTTTCCCCAATTTTCCAAATATTCTTTTTGAAAAATCTCACCAGGGAAAAGACAAACTAATATTTCCTCTTGGAAATGTTTCAGCCATTGAGTCTTCCCTGTATATTTCACCATCTCTGGAGCTCTCAACTCAACTAATTACTATATGGGCTGACAGAGTCAGGTTGTGGAAGTAGGGAAGAAAAAAAGAAAATGACAACTGCAGGGGTTGAAGTCCTGAGCAATAGCGCAGCCACTCGACTGCCTTGGCACACTTGTGATAAGAACCACACTACAATCGAGTTTTCAAATCCCCGACTAATGCAGCCAACACAGCCACAGAGCTTTCTGATATCTCATGAAGTTCTGATGCTAATATATGCTAGAAGCATAGCAAATAACATAGTTATCATGCACAATCCCCCTATAACAGTATGCACAAAATGTTACTTTTGTAATTTAAATCAGAGACCCGTGTCAAAATCTCCATGTCATAACTAGAATTAAACTGGCATACATTATAGAATTCAATAACTACAGCGTTCAAACAAAATCATCTAAGAGAGAACCATAAACTAATTAGGTGATTTGCCAATGTTATTAATGTGTATTAACGGTGCCATCAAAATTGCATTTCAATGTTTTTCTTTAAGGTCTTTCAGCCTTCAAGGTCCTTCAGCTTTCAAGGAATTTCCATACAGTCAGAACATAGAACTTTTCTTGATTGTTCATGCTCCAAAGAGAGAATTTGGACTCTGGATGGATTGTTATGAAAACTAATCTCATGCCAAGCATCATTGCCCCAGCAATCACGGCAAGTAGAAGGTAGAAGCAGAAGAATGCAAAGGCTGCAGTTCCCAGAAGACCTGGTGAAGTGGCAAATAGGTATCTCAAGTTAATGTTATGACTCATGAAGCAAAAAGGAAATGAAAGAAAAAAATATGCTTAAAATTTTTATAATACCCCAGACGTCATCCAACTTGATGAAAACCCCATTTAGGAAAGGAGAAAGAGGAGGGTTAATCAATAGATATATCACAATATGTGCAATCCATGCCACTGAAACAATCAACCTATCAAACAAGCAGCCAAGAAGAAGTCAGATTTATCAAAAACTGCTTTTGAAAAAATGTGCAGTCAGCACATTAAAAAAACTTCAAACCATCACCTTTTCACCTTGAGGATACATCTCTTCTAAAGCCTTTACATCTTCTTCCAGAAGAAGCAGCTCCTACAAGGTTAAGAATAAGTCAGTACCCGATTCCAATCTATCTAACCATGGATACATAGACAAGTCAACCAACAATGTAAACTTCAAATTTCATAAAAAATGATGTAATTTCTACAAACCCTAAACGCCCCTAAGCATATAATAGCAATTGGAAAAAAAGCAGGAAACCTTGTAATTGTAATTATCAATTGTTATGTCTTAAATGAAAACAATCTTGTAGTTGGATCATGATTCATGACATTAATTTCTGATGCAAACATTTTAACAGAAGAAAAGAAGCTTTTACAGATCTCAGAAACGATATTCAAATCCAACATATTGTATCTTAGACCCTACATCATCTGTAAAACCAACTTTGGGCTGAAGTACACCAAACTATAAGATGTACCAATTTTCTCGATATGTCTTAGGGTGGACTTAAACCATGCGCCTTCCCTTTTAGCCATGGCAAGGCACCCTTCAGCTAACAATACTGATAAAGGTTAATACCTTTTCTACTGCCTTTACATTTTTACGCCACTTCCTTCCCTTTGAGCCACTCTTTTCCTCCTGACGAAGCGCATCAGCTGCTTTCTTCAATTCTCTTGCCTTCTTACCTAGTTCAGTTGCTTCCTCAAATTATCGAGTCAATTGCCTATAATCAACTTGAACATGCAAATAACCATTACGTTGATATAGAAGGCATAAATAGGTAATTTCATATGGATACATAAAGCACAATGCAAAAGGTACCTTAATATACTGTGAACGAGTGATAACAACTTTTGGACGCCGAAAGAATGAAAAGATAAGTCCCAATGGCAGACAAGCAAAGCCCACACCGCCAAATATCTGGGTAGGACAACAAGAGCTCAATAGTAAAATAAAATATTCTTGGAAAACAGACATATTGTTAGTTCAATAGTATCCAGATCTAACAGGTCACTTTGAACCAGGGTAATTTAGGGTTTAAAACAGGGTAATAAAAAAACAGAGAGTGAAAAATAAAAAACACTGGTTGAAAAATCAGTTCTGGTGATCTGGGGAAAAATAAATGAGATGTGTAAAACACTGATAGATCAATCCAAACTGATCAATAAAAAACAGAGATTAAAATTCTTCAAAACATTGATTGAAAACCCTAGGAGAAGAATCGACGGGAAGGAAGAACTTGAGAGTGAGAGAGAGAGAGAGAGAGAGATATAGAGCTTGAGATTTTCTGAAGCGATGGTGCTCACCTTGGTAAATGATGGTACTCACTCTCCTCACCGGACGAATCTGAGATTAAATCACCGAGCTTTGAAATCGAGAGAGAACTTTGAAATCGCCGAATGAATCTGAGATTGAATCACCGAGCTGAAGAAGTTTGAACTTCCAAATCACCTTCAATCGATCAATAGATCTTCAATCAATCTGATCTAAGAATGATAAAGTAGACAAAACCTAGCATACCTGAATCAAATGATTCCATCAGTAAGTATCATCTTCAATCGAACTTGAATGTGAGAAGATAGAGATGACACTGATCAACACTTACCACGAAGAAAGACCTGCGATCTCGAACACGAACTCAATATGGCACATTATGATCTGCGAATCGACGATCTACGAATACTTGAATCGAATAAACGAAGGGGTGAATCGAATACTTGAAGAGAAGGGTTGCAGATTAATCGATTAATAAATGAAGGGGTTTGAATCGAGAGAAACGAAAGGGTTTGAAGCAAGAGAGAGTGAAATCAAGGGTACAATGAGAGCGAGAGAGAGAGAGAGAGAGAGAGAGAGAGAGAGAGAACAGGCTATTTACGTTAAAAAAAAAAGCAAAAAACATTTGAAGGCGTTTTTGGAAGTTAAAACGGTGTCGTATTAAGTCAATAAGAATGCGACGTTTAAAAAACGCCGTAAAATATTAGAAACTGAGGCGTTTTTTTAAACGCCGCCAAATCAACGCCGTTAATTCTTACTTTTCCTGTAGTGATATATCAAAAGCATCAAACATGATCACCAATTAGCCATGGACTGGTTCTCCTGGCTGTCAAAAAGCGGCCTCCACCGCTCGCTCACATACAAGTATGGTCTCATATTCACTCGCAATGAGCTCGAAGAGGAGGATTTGAAATCCTTCAACCATGAATTCCTCCAAAGCATGAGGATCTCCGTAGCCAAACACAGGCTAGAGATTCTCAAACTTGCCCGAAAGGAGGTTGGAGATGTCCCGCGAAGCGTTTTGAGGCTCTTTTTGGCCATCAACAAGGCCAGGCAGAGCTTCAAAAAAAGCATTGGCAAGTGGGCTCTTTTTAGGGATTCGGATAGCTCCCCTCTGCCAGAGTTAACCCCTTTCCAGGCTCATTGGACTGGAGCCCTAAGGAAGCACCATAGTTCAAAGGAGTTCAGCCAAGAGAAGGTTATGGTCACAAATAGAAGCATAATGAGGTCTGGACCTTTGGATAGGAGGAGCCATGAGAGAATGATGGTGACAAGTAGGAGCCTAAGTGTTTCTGGGCCTCTAGATGGGAAAATGCAAGAGAGATCCATAAACAGAAGCCTGGTAGTATCGGTCCCATTGGACAGTAGAGTTCAAGAGCGATTGTTTTTTGTCAACAAAAGCCCAGATATGTCATGGCCTTTGGAAGAAGGTGGTTTGGGCCCAAGGGTCAATAATCACTATGGCAAAGAAAAAATGGTTGGTGATGATGATGGAGTTCAGCCACTATGGTCTCTTTTGTTTCAAGATATAAAACCCACTTGAAAAATGTGTGTGTTTTAATGTTTTATTGTGAGTGATTATCATTTTTGCAAGAAAAAACAATCACTTTTGTGTTTTTTTGGTTTTTTTTAAACTTCTCTAAAGATGTTGATCCAACCAGTTACATTAGGTCCATATTGCATGGTTTTTCATCTTTGTAGAAATTATCTATGCAATAATAAATTCACTAAAGGAAGGGGTTGAGTGTTAAATTTATAAGTTTCCATTTTTTTTTAATTTTATTTTTGATCTACAAAAGTCAGGAGTTATTCTTTCCACCCTTATAAAGTACCAAGTGATTGCCCTCCTCATTGGGACTAACCCCAATAGAGAGTCATGGTGCCATGGTGGCCAACTAAGTTAGCTAGCTTTTTAATTTTTTTTTTTTTTTTTTTTTTGACTTTTTTTATGACGGAGAAAGTGAATTAAAAATTGGAAAGTAGCGTTTAACCCACTTTCCAAAATAAATCATAGTTGATTAATTTATAAGTTTTCATGTAGACAAGACGTTTGAGTTTTCTTTTATTTATTTTAATATTATTATTTTGTTAAGAATCTTCTAATTTATAGAATCGTAGAATTATTGATGGTTCAAACGGGCCATACAACTTGTACTGTGTGAACATGTAATTTTAAGCATAATTAGAGCAACTTTTCCTTTCTAATAAACAAATTTTCACTCTTCCTATATTTGGCATTTGATTAGGCAACCACATAAATTATACCTAGGGAATTGCCAATGATGTGTGTATCTAAATTTCGTTCTTAAGAGTATCTCCAACGTTGCATCAAACTTTTCATCAAATTTTTAGGCAACCACATAAATTATACCTAGGGAATTGCCAATGATGTGTGTATCTAAATTTCGTTCTTAAGAGCATCTCCGACGTTGCATCAAACTTTTCAACAAATTTTTAGGCAACCACATAAATCATACCTAGGGAATTGCCAATGATGTGTGTATCTAAATTTCGTTCTTAAGAGCATCTCCAACGGTGCATCAAATTTTTCATCAAATTTAAGTAAAAATTTGAATAAAAACTCCCTTTGATATCAAATGTGCCAACGGAGAATTTTGGAGTTTCATCAGAACACCGATCGACCGAGTGAACAACCGAGCAAAGGTCCAGTCGATCGACCGACCAGTCTAAATTTTTTTTTTTATTTTTTGCCTTAAGGTGTTTGATCGGGCTGATGTCTAGCCGCTCGACCGGCCAGTGTAAATTTTTATTTTATTTTTTTGCCTTGAGGTGGTCGACCTGAAGGACAACCGAGCGGTCACCAATCAGTGTAATTTTTTCACAAATTTTTTCCTTGAGGTGGTCATATGGGAGGACATCCGGCAACGGTAATGAACAGTGATTTGATGAAAGACATATTTACCCTCAATTTGACAAAAGAAAAGTGAAATTTTCAATTTGATACCTATTTGATGCAATCGTTGAAGTAGCAGCTGAACTCATTTTTCATCAAATTTAAATTTGATAAAAAGTTTGGATAAATATTAGAGATGATCTAAGATAACTTTTTTGAAAAGTGTCAAACATTCTTCTTTCTTTAATTTAAAGGTAATAAAAAAAAAATGGAAAACTTGTGAAACAGTCTATCTAGAGTTTGTTCACATACTTTTGGAAAGGTACCCCTTTCAGTTAGTGGTTGGTTAGTTGTGTAGCAACTGGTGAGACTTGTGTGACCAAAATGCACCTCTTTAATCTACTATATATTCATTATAAATAAATATTGTAATTCATGAAACAAATAATAATAATAATAATAATTTCACATTTTGTGTATAACAAAATTTGATAAATGTATTGTTACCGACTTGTGACATTATGATTGAGGGCAAACATGCACACGCTTATAGAAAATTTAGTAAATTTATTCAGTTTTTTTGTTCTTTTTTTGGGTGTCCTTTCTAAATCTGACATAATATAATTCAAACATAATCTAAAATGTAATCGAAATTTGTTGTTCAGGAAACGGGTATATGTTATTTAAATTGCAATTATATTAGCAGAAAGTCTGTAAATCGTGAAAGAAAAATCAAAGAAAACAATAAATATATTTAAAAATTTAAATTACAGTGTAGATCTAATTTTGTTCACTACAAGAAAACACATTTTTGCCGAGCATTTTTGGCTACCAAAACAAATTTAGTCGCCAAAAGTGTGGGAATTGGCTACCAAAATTAATTTTAGTCGGCAAAAGTCAACATTTTAGCTACTAATTTTTTTTAGTAGGGGAATGTTGATTATTGGCGACTAAAAAAAAATTAGTAGCTAAAAAAAATACAATTGGCGACTAAAAAATTTTTTAGTAGCTAAACATATCACAATTGGCGACCAAAAGAATTTTTAGTCGCCAAAGACCTACTTTTGGCTACTAAATAGTTTGGTAGCCGAATGAAAATAAAAAAATTATAAAATACCTTTGGCAACCAAAATTTTGGTCGCCAAAAACAGGGGATTCACCGACTAAATTACTTTTTAGTCGCCAAAGGCCTACTTTTGGCTATTAAATAGTTTGGTAGCCGAATGAAAATAAAAAAATTATAAAATACCTTTGGCGACCAAAATTTTGGCTGCCAAAAACAGGGGATTCACCGACTAAATTACTTTTTAGTAGCCAAAGGCCTACTTTTGGCTACTAAATATTTTGGTAGCCGATTGTTTAATAATGGTAAAGTGTTCCTTTAGGTAATGGTAATTTCTATAGGGTTGTAATGAAAAATTAATATTATTAAAATGTAATGAATATTTTTAAAATCTAATAATTTATCATTTAAATAAAATTTTCAATTTTTCAATATCATTATCAAAACGAGGGCTAAGTGTGTAAAAAAAATTCACTCATGACTTATAAGTAAATAAATCTGATTTGTAAGACTTATTGATATTATTTCAGATTTTAAAATTTTTCTTAATTTTTTAATAATTAATTTTTTCAACTTTTTAAAATATTTTAAGCAAATTTTAGTCGCTGTAGACCTACTTTTGGCTACTAAATTGTTTGGTAGCCGAATGAAAATAAAAAAAAATTAAAATACCTTTGGCGACCAAAATTTTGGTCACCAAAGGTATTTTATAATTTTTTTATTTTCACTCGGCTACCAAACTATTTAGTAGCCAAAAGTAGGCCTTTGGCGACTAAAAAGTAATTTAGTCGGTGAATCCCCTGTTTTTGGCTATCTCTCTGTCCGAATTGCACCACCGGAAGCCCTCTCTCTTCGTTCGAATCGCACCACCGAAAGCCCTCTTCTCCGTTCGTTTTGCTTCACTGATGTGGCACCACCGAAAGCACTCTTCTCCATCCATTTCTTTTTAATAATTGTAATAATTGGGCCCTCACGCGAAAGGTATGCTAAAATGGGCAACTTGTTATTGGCTGTTTGTCGATAGTTTTACATTGCAAAAATTTAAAGGCATAGTTACAGGTCAGTCTGATGAATTTAATTTTTAATAAATAAAAATAAAAATAAAAAAATAAAAATGACGTTGTTTTACTCTTTCGAACATTTCTCTTTTCACCAATTTTTTCATCTTTCTATCTCTCTGTCTCTTTCTCTCTCTCACTCATAACTCTTCTCTGTCTGTCTGTCTCTCTCTTTCTCTATGTGTCTCTGTCTCTCTTGTCTCTCTCTTTCTCACTCACCACTTTTCTTTGTCTGTCTGTCTCTTTCTTTCTCTCAATGTCTCTGTCTCTCTTCTCTTTCTCTCTCTCACTCATCACTCATCACTCTTCTCTGTTTGTCTGTCTGTCTGTCTCTGTCTCTGTCTTTCTCTCTCTCTCTCTCTCTATGTCTCTCGTCCATCTTTCTTCTCTTTATCTCTCTCATCTCTCATCTCTCTTCTCTCTCTGTCTGTTTTCTCTTTATCTCTCTCACTCATCTCTCTCTGTCTCTCTCTCGTCTATTTCTTTTCGCTCTCTCTCTCTCTCTCTCTCTCTCTCTCTCTCTCTCTTTGTCTATATCTTTTCATTCATTTTTTCATCTTTCTTTCTCCCTTCTCTTTCTCTCCCTCACTCATCACTTTTCTCTTTCTGTCTGTCTGTCTATTTGTCTCTCTCTCTCTCTCACTCATCTATCTCTTCTCTCATCTCTTTTCTCTCTCTGTCTCTTTCGCTTATCTCTCTTCTCTTTATCTCTCTCGCTCATCTCTCATCTTTCTTTGTCTCTCTCGTTCATCTCTCTTCTCTCTATCTTTCTTTCTGTCTCTCTCGTTCATCTCTCTTCTCTTTATGTCTCTCTCGCTCATCTCTCTTCTCTCTATCTCTCTCGTCCATCTCTCTTCTCTCTATGTCTCTTTTTTGTCTCTCACTCTCACTCTCTATCTCTTTCTCTCTCTCTCTCTCTCTCTCTCTCTCTCTCTCTCTCTCCCACTGTGTTTGCGTTGCTCACTCTCTCACTCTCATCCTCTTTATTTACTGAGCTCCCTCTTGATTTATCGATCCACTACAAAAAAAATGCACTTTTAGCGACCACTTTGTCTCTCTTTCGCTCATCACTCTCTCTCTCTCTCTCTCTCCTCTATCTGTCTCTCACTCATTTCTCTCTCTCACCATCCATCTCCACTACCACCTTCACCACTACTACAAACGCCATTCCACCCCCACCACTACTTCCACTATCGCCACTTCACCTCTACGACTACTATTACTACTATCATCACCACCACTCCACTACCACCACTACCACTACTACTACCATTACCTCTCTTTCACCCCTGCCACACCATTTACACTACCACTACCACAACTTCACCACTAATCTCTTTCGCCATCTCCATCACCACCACCATCATCTCTTATCCACCATCTTCACTACTACTGCCGCTCCCTTTCCTCTACCACAAAAAATTAGTTCATGATTTTTAGTAACCAAAAAAAACAGGCCTCAAAAAAATATTTTTCATTGGCTACAGAAAATTAACTTTTATTTTAGTGAAAAATATTTTGCATTAAACTATTACCCCTACTTCTACCAAATAAAAAAAATAATATTTTTTTTTCATTAAAATAAAAATGAAACAAATAAATTTGCAATCTTAGTAACTAAAAAAAAAAAGGAATTTTTTTAACAAAATTTATTAACTACAAAATATATATATTTTAACAAAAAATAAATTTTTTTCACGATGTCAACCCCCGCAGCAAAAAAAAATAAAAATAAAATAAACGATATTATTTTATTATTTAAATTTTATTTGTGACTAAAAAAAAAAAATTTTTTTTTTTATTCCCCCTCTTTTTTTTTTTCCATTCCCGCTCCCTAACAACCCCCCCTCCTCTTTTTCCCATTCCCGCCAAAAAAATCCCTAATCTCAAATCCAAAAATCCCCAATCTCTACTTACGCATGCTTTGTATAGCTGTAGTTCATTCTATGTTCACAACTGTACCAAACAGCCCTATCATCTACTTACCCCCTCTCTCTCTCTCTCTCTCTCTCTCTCTCTCTCTCTCGCGATCGACGGCGAGCGGCGTCGGAGCAGCGTCGTCAATTACCCTATCCCTCAATTACCCTTATTCTTCTACTCACCCCAAACCCACTTCATCACTTAGGTCTCTAAGCTTCTCTTCCACCATTCTCACAATGTCTTCTCCACAGGTACTACTCAAAAACCCATTTCTCTGTATTTGCCTTTTCTCAGCTCAAATCACAAAACCCTTGTTCTTAAATAGTTTTTAAAAATTGTTTTTTGGTAATATTTGCAGGTTTGATTTCGATGAGCCCTGTTGTGAGGCCGACTCGTCACTCGATTATTTGCGAGGCTGCTCCGAATAAGAAGGCTGATTCGGCTGCGAAGAGAGCTCGTCAAGCAGAGAAGAGGCGTGTCTACAACAAAGCTCGGAAATCCGAGGTCAAGACTCGGATGAAGAAGGTATTTTATTTGTGGGTTTGCTTGTTTCTTAATTGTAGACTAAAGTGGTATTTGATTATGTTGAGTTTTACAGGGTTATTTCAGTTTTGAATTCATGTTTAGGCTTCTTGATGATAATGGAGCATTAGTTTTTGCACTACCGTATGAGATTGCTTTGATTTCTTGGTTATTTCTGGTCATTTCTTAAAAAAACTTTAATGAAGATTGTTTTTTTATTTTGCTTAATTGAGATCTGTTTATATATATGTACATATAATTTTGCTTTATTGAGTTTCATTCTTTCTGATTATGCAGGTTGCCTATTGCTGTGGTGCCTTCAAGTCAAATTCCTTCTTATTCAGTTGCCCAATGAGTAGCTCAAATGTCTGTATTTTTTTGGTAGGCAAAACGAAGCAATCTCATTTTTGTTTCTGGATGTCCAACGCTCTCCTAACAAAATGATGTTATGATCCAACAACATTCTCTATATTGCATTGTTGACTGAGTTTCCCCTAGTTTTCTACACACCACTAAAACATATGAATGTATAACATATATTCTCTTTTTCCTGGGTGCTTCGTGTAGCGTTTCTGATCTGGTCGAATTAATCGAAACTCTTTCTGGAAAAATTTGCAGGTTTCATGTTGCTGTGCTGTTGCTTTTAATTTTAATGAAGCCCATCCCTTGTTCTATATTCTAGTGTTTGTATTTACTTGTTGGGTATGTATCAAGCCTCCTTTCTTTTGTTGGATGTTGAACTTTTTTTTCCTGTAATATATCTGATATTTGGGACACATCTTACATTATCGATTAATGTGTTGTAGTTTTAGGCCATGTTTGTCGGGACTGGATTGGAAGAGGGGGGATACAAATTCCTGGATTGTTCCTGGACTAATAGTTCCTCTTAGTGTTTGGAAATACAAATCACTGGTCTGAATTAATGCTTGAACTACGGGACACTGGGGGATTGGATTAGAATCATTAGATAATCTAACAAAATTCTACAAAACTCCACTCAAATCCATGCAATTCTAATATTAATTTTTAGAACTGGATTGATAGCCTAGGACAGCCCCGGGATAGAATGTATTGATTGTTGCAGTATGTGTATGTATATATGTATGTATTGGTCACAGATTAATTGTATGTAATCTGCTGGAGATTAATTGATTGCATTGTTGTATATATACATACATATTTTTATGACTTTGAAGGAGAGGAATGGAGGTAAAGAGAGTGGTTGGCGGCAAAGTTTAGGAAGGGTGCTTGTGAAAAGTAAGTGAAAGTTGCTTTCTTTCTCTTTCTTTCTATGTATGGTACATGCATGTGTGCTGTATTCTTTTCATTAATTTTCGCAATGGCTAGTCATTGACACGAAGATGTAATCAATATAGATTTTAGTTGTAGAAGAGTTTCATGTAATCTGCTTGTTTCAGTACCAAGGTTTAAACTATGGAGGTTCTACCCTGCCTTATGGATGAGAACTCTGCCTTGGTGAGGGAAGAAGAGTTATTGGTGGGATGGGGATAGTGTGCCTGGGGTTGGTTGTGGTTAAGTCTTAGCGTATCATTTTGTTTAATACATTGAAAATTTTAACATGCTAATTTTATGATGATTGTTAAATTGCTCACTATGGGAATGATCGGTTCAACATCAATTTCAGTATTACATTAAGTATTTTTTGGGGAGTATATGTAGGAACTATGCCTTTTTTGATAGGAATACTACAGCATAATGGCACTGTAACCATAACACCCACTCGCGCTCTCTCTCTCTCTCTCACACACACACACACACGCACACACACACACACACACACACACACACAACCCTATGATATTTGTCTGTAACTCTTGTTGGTGATGCTTTGTGATGATTCTGCCTAATTTTGTGAGTTTGTTCTTCTTTTGAATTTGGGAAAATTACTACATGAATCGATTTGGATTTGAAATTTTATTTCTTTATTTCTCAAGTATATTCGTTATAGAATATGATTAGTCAACATTCAATTCGTGATTAATAGGTATAAACTTCACTAAAATTGTAAACAGTTTTGGGAGTTTGAGTGCTTTGGCTCTGAAATGGAGGTCCTTGGAGTGCTTTAACTTGAACTACCTGACATATTATTTCTTTCCTTTCCATTGCACCTGTGTTACATGGACCATTATCCCTTGGTGGACAGGTATATATATATATATCTATTGTGTTGCTCTTATATAATAACCTTGGTGGACAGGGTGTTTGATGAAATGCCTCAAAGAAGAATTCATCTTAATTGCAAATCAACTTTACATAGTGTTAGTATGATTTGACATCAAACCTTCCAGACTAGAGTTAGTCCATTAGATCATGTCAAATATTTGGGACACTAAACAAGCTTAGTTATAGATTAATTGAGAGAGAGAGAGAGCATGGCTTCAAACTTGGTCTTTTGTCTTAATTAATGTTTTTATAGTCTGCTTTTAGGTTTCCATATATTCTTGGATTTTTTGCATTTATGATTGTCATTATGTTGCTATGCCTCCATGGTTATTTGCATTATTTTGAAATGTATTTACTTCGCTGAATTGTTATGCTCATGGGTCATGGCATTGGTATAGTTATTTTGAATTGCTTTATATAATCTCTTTCATGGTTAGTCAATTATTGTTATTATTATTATTTGTAGTTCATTTGCATCTGTTCAGATTTTCCTTAATTTCTTTTCCCCTGTCTTTCATTTGCATCTGTGATTAATGACCTTAATAAATAAAGGTTCCAATTTAATTGCATCTGTTATCAACAGTGTTTGGATGAGGACAACTGAATGTCTCAGTATATTAATGTTGCAACTTGTTTATTTTGTTTTTAGGAGTATGAATTAGATGGAATTGATTGGACAAAAGTAGATTTTGAAGACAACCAAGAGTGTTTGGATCTCTTTGAGAAGGTAGTTCTGTTTTTAACACAAACACACACACGCGCACACACTCACATGTTCATTGTAGAGTTTTTCAGAGTTCCTTGTGCTGATATATGTGAGCATTGGACTATATTTCATATACATATGATGCCATACCACATAGGTCGTCCTAGGTCTCTGACTATTTTTGTTAGCCTTTCATGCATAATTCAAACCATGTTCTTATTGCAATATTGTTTCTTATAAACTGAAGTTGTAAAGAAAATAAAAGATTAAATATATTGCTTCCTAAGCATAATTATACACCAAGTTCTCATCTTTTTGATCATACCATGTTATATGAAACCTAATTATAGGTTTTCATATTTAAATTCACTCCTTCATGTGTGGTAGATTGTGTGTTAATGGCTTCACTGCTATGCATTTTGCAGAAACCTATAGGGCTAATATCTTTGTTGGATGAAGATTCAAATTTCCCCAAGGCCACTGATTTGACCTTTGCTAATAAGCTTAAGCAACACTTGAGTGGTAATCCTTGCTTTAAAGGAGAAAGAGGTGGAGCTTTTGGTATTTGCCATTATGCTGGAGAGGTATGTTGTTAGATGGTGTAGCTGGCATTAACTAGAAATTTACAGCTCAAATTGGTGAATCTTTTGACTACACTGCGATGTGTACTGTTTCCAAAATAATAAAGACGAAATAACTAACAAATATAGGACAATTGAAGATGTTATGTTAAGACATTTTATGGGAAGAACTTGCTGTAAGATGTTATGGGAAGAAATTTTAACACTAGTCTCAAATTTGAAGTGCATAGATCCTTTTCTCTGGCACTATTCTCATTCCCTGTCAAGTTCTAATAACTCATGATTTAACTTGTACTGGAAGTGAAAATCTATGGATCAGTAAAAATGTAAGTAACTGCAAACTTGAGAAGAATTAAATTTTGGATTTGACCTCAGGATCTCTCATTTTTTATCTTCTTTTTGCCTTTGCGGATCTCGTTCTAGCAAAAAAAAAAATTGTTGATATTACTTGGAAATTTTGATCCACTCGTTCCAAGAGCTTTCCAATCATCAATTTAATTATCTTTCTATTTAAGTTGTTTAATTATCTATACTTATTTGCTAAATGCTTCCGCTGATTGGGAGGTTGATTATTATTTTGCAGTTGGTGTCTTCAGAAAGAAAGGTACCAAACTATATGAAGCAAGCTTGAAGGATGAGAAGCCTTTAGATCAATGGTTTCATTGTTAAATTAAGCAAGTGCTTTAGTAAATAAATTTAATTTTCCCATCATGTTTACACCTTCAAAATATTTTGTAAATGAGATTTGATGTATAATTTTTTGTACAGAGGACATCTTTTTTGTATGATTTTGTGTTTGTATGGAATTAATATTTTGGGATGGATTGTATTTGATTTGTATAGAATTTGATGTTAATTGATCAAATTTTTGTATTGTTGAAACGAAATAGAAATAGATATATGTATAATTATTGTTTAAATATAGGGTGCAGGTTGCACGAAATAAATACAGGTTGTGAAGAAATTAATTATAATAAAAAAAAACACTAAATAAAGTTTTTGGCAATTAAATGTTTAGTAGCGAAAAAAAAAAGAAGTGAATTTGTTAGTGACTAACCAATTGGTAGCCAAAAAGGAAATCAATATTTTTAGTGACTAAATATTTGGTAGCCATAAAGAATCCAAAGATTTTTCGTGACTAAAAATTTAGTAGCTAAAAATAAATGAAGACTTTCGGCTACCAAATGGTTAGTAGCCAAAAGTTTAATAAAATGAAAAATAATATTTTTGGCGACTAAATTCTTTAGTCCCTAAATGTAGTAATGTTGTGACTAAAACTTATTCCCGACAAAAAGTTTTAGTCGCTGAAAATTTAATTTATTTTATTTAAACACTTTTGGCGACTAAATATTTAGTCGCCAAAATATACCCTTTCCCGACTACTCAGAGTTTGGTAGCCGAATGTTCACTTTTGGCGACTAATTTTTTAGTCGCCAAAAGATAACCTTTGCCGACTAACCAGAGTTTAGTAGCCAAAACATTCACTTTCAGCGACCAAAAATAGTTTAGTCACCAATACTATCGCTGACAGGCTATAGGCGACGACTTTGGCGACAAAAAATATTAGTCGCTAATTTGTTTCGGTGACCAAAAATGGGGCTTTTGGCGACCAATATTTTGGTCACCAAAAGTGGCATTTCCTGTAGTGGTTATTGTGAAACCCTTCATAAATGAATCTTGACACTAAATTGTAAATTATGAATAATTTTTTAATTTTGTTTCTGAATTTATAACTGTTGTTATATTAATCATATTAAAATCTTATAGTATTCTAAGGATGATAGCATTTAAAGATTAGCAATATTATGAACTCAAAAATTTTAGTAAAAAAATATTTAGTATAAGCATTGTGTGGTTGAGATTTATGAAATTTATTTCAAGTATGCGTTTTGTTATACAAAAATTGAATTTAGATCATACATCACAATTCAAGATAAATTGCTTGATTTTTTTTTTTTTTGAGTCTCTATCTTTTCTGTTTGAAGATTAAAACAAAATACATACACATGTGACCTGTACTGTACTAAGGACAAAACCATTAGCAAACTTGGTATTTAAAGTCTGCTTGGCCAGCTCAGAGAACACATACAATATTGGATATAGCCCCATTGTATGACACGACTCCATTAGCCTTATCCTTATGGTAAAAGAAAGAAAACAAAAGAAAAAACATCATCCTGATCCACTACAATCCTACATGGTACATACTTGAACATCATCACATGGGTTTGTCACAAAAGGGTACAAATGTAAATCCTCTGTTTAGTGAAGTTTATTTGAGCTACTTAGAGTTTATTTAGAATTTATTTTTTATTACAATTTGTATTAAATTATTTAGAGTAATTTTTACTTACGATTTATTAAGTAAAAATAATTTAAATAATTTTTTTAAAAAACCATTATTTAAAAATTGAGAAAGAATGAACAAAATGAAAGGTAAAATGATCTTTTGTCAACCAAACCAAATCAATGGATTGGATCAGTAATTAGATTATGAGAAGAGATTGACAGTCTACAGGATTAGCAATCACATGCTATTTCTCTATAAACAAACATAGTTTAAGTAGGACTCACAAATTGTTAATCCAAATATGTTGTGTAATTGATTTGTGTTTCTTTAGGGAGAAAAATAAAAATAAAAATAAAAATAAATACCATCAACATAAGATAATTGTAATGTCATAGAAGTACATACAATTTATGCATTAGATTGTGTAACTAACTCTTGTACTTCTATCTTTATGCAATTATTTTAAATTTATACCATTTTATTGCAGTTGTTCCCAATTTTTATTTATTTTTATCATATTTGTTTGTTTTTCAAATCATAAAAACATTTAACCTTTGTTTTCCTAGTGGATGAGTGACAAGAAATGTGGATCCCACAAAACAGGCTTAAAGATAATGTGTAACAGAAGATCTCAGTTATCCTTTGGAGGAACTTGATAATTGCTAAGATGTCCATTTCTAGTAAGAGTTCCTACAAATGGGCCACAAAATGAGCAAGGATTCTCTCCCTGCATTTCTTACTTCATTTCCTCTTTATAATGGTCAAGATTCATTTTAAGAGAATCTAATGATGCAGATCATTTCAAAAAAATTATTTTTTAATTTTTAATAAAGTAATCTGAATTATTAGATTCTTTTAAGATCAATCTTGACCATTGCAAGGAAGAAGTGAAGTAAGGAATGCAAGGAGAGGATCCTTGCTCGTTAGGTAGACCCCACACACAGTCTTTTGCCCTCAATTCCTTCATGTGGGCTGCTAAGGTCATGCAATTTGTCAAAAAAAATAAGCCAAAAAATAAAATATTTAACATTGTATCAAATTTAATATAAAATTTAGTAATTTAATAATATTATTTGTGTTAATTAAAAAAAAAAAAAAAAGCGTTTGAGCCAATTACATGGACAAAATGAAGCAAAAAGCAATAGCCTCAATGCGGCAAACTAGTATTTTTACAAGCAACATTGTTAAAAAAAAATTAATATTTTAGACACGCAAATTTGAATTATCATTGTTTCATCATAAATGGTTATGAAAGAGATGGTTCATATATTTTTATTTCAAAATAAAAAACAGTTAAAGATGAATTTATAATTCTTTTTTCTTTTTTTTTTTTTACTGATAAAAAAAAACAACTATAAATTTGATATTGCTTTTTTAACAATGAGCAGTGAAATGTTCAAAAAAATTTCAATTTTGGGAGACCAATTGGGTCCTACACTGAAGAGGGGTAGATGTAACTAGTGTACTGGAGACCACCCACATTTGATGACCAAACTATTGGGGACCACGGATTAGGTGACATAACCCAAGTGCCCACAAATAGAAATCTTGAAGACGGTTTGGTACAAATCTTTAAAACCATTTAATTGAGTCTCCCCCCTCTCTCTTTCTCAAAATTATTAGGTGGACTTGAGTACCGCCTCACTAATCACTCATCACTAAATGTCATGCTCCCCTACTATGTTACCTTCTTGTTTCTCTATAACCTATCATCAAAATGTGAATCTCATTTTCTCAATTAATTATAATATTTTAAGGCATCATTTAACCCTATCCCAAGATCATAATTCTCCTCTATCTATTTTAGCTTCTCTTATTTTCCTCTTACACTTTTTAGGAATGCTCACAGATTGAGTTAGGTAAACTCTTATTTGTCATTTTTTCGAACTTGAGTAGATTTGAACAAATCAATTTATATATGTCCGTTTAGTTAACAGATGTAGATTGAGCAGACTGTATAGGTTGGCAAGTGGATGAGGATCTGTTTGGGAGACTTTACTATTTTGGGCTTTTTTTGAACTAATTTTTGGTAATTTTTTATTATTTCCCAAAATTTTTTATTCTTCATTTTTTATAAAAAAAAAATAAGGGTTTTACTTTCATATTTCTTATAATTACTATAAAAAAAAAAATTATTTTTGCAGAACCATTTTGACTACAAACAAACTGATGTTTGGGTATATTACCACTTTGATCTAATTGACCCCTTAATAAAATGGTGTAGTCTTTCTTTATTTCAGAAAAGGAGCTGGGGCACATGGCAGATTTCTGGATCAAACTACAACTCACATACAACTCATAGTTTTGTCTTGTAGGCAGTAGAATGCTCTCATTCACATTTTTTAGTCTCAAGTTCATGTCATGTTTGGTGGTTTCAGAATTATTTATATTTTGATGGAGTCATGTAAAATTTTAAATTTTAATTCTCAATTTATAAATAAAATGACATCTTAATACAATATAATAGAGGAAAAAAAAAAAAGAAACACATAAATATACGTTATTTTATAATTGTCCTTGGCAAAGTTTTATATAATGAATATTATCAAATAGGTTCTTGGTCGAACCAACAAAAAAAAAATATAAAAACTTATAAAAAAATATATATTTATTCATACTAAAACAAGAGGCCAACAAAAATCAAATGGACATATACTACAATCACAAAAAAACAATTAAATCAACCTAGTGCACATGTATAATATGTATCACAAATTTAACTTCCAATCAAATTTAAACCAAAAAAAAAAAAATGCAAATACAAAATTATTTAAGTGATGCAATTGCGATGACAATTCAAGAGAGTTAGAAGGCTCCATTGTCTTTTCATTTTGTACGTGGAATTCTACATTTTTTTATTATTCTTCATTAAATAATG